AGGTCCAAGACATACTTCCTTTGAGAGATAAAAATTCCATGTTTCGATCTTGCAACTTCAATGCCTAAGAAGTACCTCAGTTCTCCAAGATCCTTAATTTCAAATTCCTTATGTAGGTTCCTTTTCAGACTATCAATCTCACTCGTATCATTCCCAGTGACAACAATATCATTCACATAAACAATTAGAACTGACACCAAAGATCCCCTACGCTTCACAAACAAAGTGTGATCGGATTGAGTCTGAGTGTATCCAAAAGCAATCAAGGCCTTTCTGAATCTGTCAAACCATGCTCTGGGAGATTGTTTCAAGCCATAGAGTGACTTCTTAAGCTTGCATACCATTCCCTTTTCAGTATCATTGTAAAAACCAACAGGAAGATCCATATACACTTCTTCTTGCAGGTCCCCATTTAGGAAAGCATTCTTCACATCCAGTTGAAACAAGGGCCAAGAGTATGATGCCGCAAGAGAAAGAAGTATCCGAATGGAGGTCATCTTTGCAATTGGCGCAAAGGTCTCTAAGTAATCAATGCCATAGGTCTGTGTGTACCATTTTGCAACAAGTCTTGCCTTGTACATTTTTCTATACTTCCATCTGCCTTATATTTTACTGTGTAAACCCATCTGCATCCAACTGTCTCCTTGCCTTCTGGTAGGTCCACAATGTTCCATGTCTGATTCTTAATCAAAGCTTCCATCTCTTCCTGCATAGTTGTCTTCCACTCAGGTTTGGAGAGAGCCTCATTAACACCCTTGGGTATAGACACTGAATCAAGAGAGGAGAGAAAAGCACGATAGGAAGGAGAAAGTCCACTGTAGGATAATACTGTGAAATACAATGAGCAGTACACTTTCTCTTCCCTTTTCTGAGAGCAATAGGAAGACCAAGGTTATCTGAAACAGAGTTAGTAGGATCAATGGGAATTGAAATAGTAGCGGGACTAAGAGGAATACTTGAATCCATGTCAGCCGAATCTGGAGTCTCCAAGGGATTGACAGAAAGTGGTGTGAGTTCTGCTGTAGTGGAATCAACCGCTTTGTGAAGTCTCTGTCGTGAGTAATGCTGAGAAACAGAATGCAAAGGAGGTGGCAAGGTAGGTGCCACAGGGTGGTGGTCAAGCATAGGGATTGGAACTAGGAGAGGAATAGATTGCTGACTTACTTCCCCAAAACACTCCCCCTGAGAAGGATTCTTTGAGAAGAAGTACGTGGATTCAAAAAAGGTGACATCCATGGTAACATATCGGCTCCCAGAGACTGGATCATAGCAGCAATACCCTTTCTGATTCTCTGCATATCCAAGGAAGTTGCCTTGGGATCAAGCTTCGAGCGGTGAGAACCAAGGATATGTGCAAAGCAGACACACCCAAACACCCTGAGAGGAATACGAAACATCTCCCCCTAAGGAAAAAGAAGACTGAATGGAGTGCTGAATCCAAGTATACGAGAGGGCACCCTGTTAATCAGATATACTGCTGTGAGAACTGCATCACCCCAAAAATGAACTGGAACTGTAGATGTGATCATCATGCTTCTTGCAGTCTCAACAATGTGTCTGTTCTTCCTTTCTGCAACACCATTCTGCTGTGGACTGTAGGGGCAACTGCTCTGATGGACAACACCATATTCTAACAGATATGAGGCAAGATGTCTTTCAAAATATTCCCTGGCATTGTCAGATCTGAACACCTTTATCATTGTTCCAAACTGTGTTAGTACCATCTGATGAAATTGCCTCACCAAGGATGGTACCTCATTGTGGTATTTCATCAGGTAAATCTAAGAGTATCGAGAGAAATCATCCACAAATAAGAGAAAATAGCGATAGCCTCCCATAGAAGGAACATGGTAAGGGCCCCACACATCCGAATGAATAACATCAAAGGAAGAAGAACATCTTTTATTACTAAGTTTAAATGAATGTCTACAATGCTTTCCAAGTTGACAACCTTCACACTCCAGACTCAACAGACTAACAGACTCAAAAAGTTTTGAGAACAAAGAACTCAAAGAAGAAAAAGGTAAATGACCCAAATGATTATGCCAAAGAATAATTTGACTCACAGATCCTGACTCACTATCCCTGCTGACATGATGACTCTGATGAGGAGGAAGTACATCCAGGAGGTAGATTCCATTCACTTCACGACCACTCCCAATCGTCATCTTTGA